CTTCAACTCAAAAAAAAAAATTATTTATGTTGAAGTCTCACTCTGTCACCCAGGCTGGAGTGCAGTGGCACACTCATGGCTACCATAGCCTCTACCTGCTGGGCTCAGGTAATTTTTTGACTTATTGTAGAGATAAGGTCTCAAAACCGAACCCAAGTGAAAGCAAGCCAAGCTATGTCACCAGTCAGTTCTGGGCCAGGTGCTGCTGGATGAGACACAGCCTCCCCCAAGGGCCTCCAGAGAGACAAAACATGTAAATGCACACACATGGCCAACAGTGACAGGACAGGGTAAACGGTGAAGTGTCTGCAGAGATGGTAAGATTGGTGACAGGGAGGGGGTCTAGGAGCGGGTCTCATGTGCCAGCTCTGGGAGAATGGGTTGGCACTGGGTTGATGGGATGCAGCCCAGGGAAGTGACCCAGCAAAGGCCAAGATGACTCCAGACGGGCCCCAGTGAGAGCTGAGACTGGATGCCAGGTCACTAGGAGGGACAGGCTCAAGTTGCACATGGAAGGCAGAAGATTCAGGTCAGAGAACTTGTGTGTGGCTTCCACAGCACAGCCAGAATCCTGCCCACAGCACTGGGCTCTCTGCGCCATGGGTGACCTAGCAAGCCATGAGCATCACTTTCTACCACCACAGAGTGGAAAGGGACAGGAGGGGCTCTCAGCTACCTTCTTACTCTGCCCTTGTGGTTTCAGGAGCTTTGGAGCCACTGCCAGAGCAGGGCTGGCAGAAGGATAAAGGAGCCGTGGTGGGGACAGCCTGGTAGTGTTCATTCTGTGTGAGTTGGATGGTGTCCAGGGAGTCCGAAACCCTTCCTAGCACTGACTCCTTCTGGAGTGCAGAAGTTTTATGAATCAAGAGCATGTCTATTAAAAAAAAAGAAAAGAAAAAAAATTATTGGGAGGCTGAAGGAGATGTGGCCGCACATCACAGAATTGAACCACTGCTGCCTTTTGCTCTAAGAGGAAGCTACTCGTTGCACTTGGAGCTATTCTGCAGCTTCCAGCTCTGGAAACAAGCCCCTTGCCACAATCAGAGTGTCAAAGTGATCAAGCAACCACAATCAGGGAACCACCATGGTCAGAAATCCCCCAGAGAGCTTCTGGCTCCTGAACCAGGCAACCTTTCTATCAACTCCACCAGTAAAGCAGAGGCCAGGTGCTAAGCCTTGATGCCCTGGGCCTCTGCTGACGCCAGCTGTCATGATGAGCTCACAGCCCCCGCAGCAACAGCACAGCTGCACCTGCTTCCCCCTCTCCAAATCTCACATGAACACATGGAATAGTCAGGACCCACCTCAGTCACACCAGAACCCAGCTGCAAGGGAGCTTAGAAGTCACAGTGTTAGGCTCTCCAGGCTCTGCAGTATAGCAAGATATGCTCGCCAGGGCTGGAATGGAGACCAAAGCCCACTCTACCATATCTACTGCCAGTATCTTCCAGGATTAATACTTGAATACATTCAAGAAGGATCTCCTCAACAGGAGAACCAAATGCAGAAGTGAATTCTGTGGATTTGAACCACTAGAATCAGCTTCACCAGATGCTATCCCGAGGGACCCACCTCTATCACTCCCCAGCAGAGGCCAACCCAAGGTCTCCCATCAACAGTGGGGATCCACACTTTCTCCAGGCATAAGCCCACCAAGGCATGTCTTGGCTGAAGACCCAACACAGATAAGGCCCAGAAAATCTGCATTCACTACCACGGGTACTTGGCAGCCCTTGGACTTTTCATTTCGATGAACTGGTTTTCTTTTCTTTTTGATTTGGAGTCTCACTCTGTTACCCAGACTGGAGTGCAGTGGCATGCTCATGGCCACCACAGCCTTGACCTGCTGGGCTCAGGCGATCCTTCCACCTCAGTCTTCCAAGTAGCTGGAACTATAGGCATGCACTATCATGCCCGCTAATTTTTTATTTATTTATAGTAGAGACAAGGTGTTGCCAAGTTGCCCAGCTGGTCTCAAACGCCTCTGCCTCCCAAAATGCTGGGATTATATGCGTAAGCCACCACGCTTAACCTGATGAACTGATTTTGTCATCTTAGCATGTGAGCTGCCCAGCAAATTGTTTTTCTAACCATGCCTACTTTTTAAATGGCCCCCTTGTCATTCTGTCCTCCTTGAGATTCCCCATCACCACATGGCGTGACATGCTTCAAGTTCACTTGTGTTATCCATTGGTGAGATTTTCTCAGGCTTTCATGCTCCATTTGTGACAGCTTGTGAGCTTCTACCTCTTCTTCCTCAACAACAACAAAAATGAAGAAACCAAACAACTATGAACACTTTTGATATT